TCAATATATATAAATGTTTGTTATTTGTAACTAAAACAATCAGCTCACACTTAGTTTTGTGTGAAATTAATGCCTTTTTAAACTTGTAGAACATGTTGATTTCTGATCAGCAGGAACCACTGAGAGCTGAGTAGAGAGCTTCTATAATTACAATCATCACAGTCCAAACATGATGCACCAGTACGAAACCTTAAGAACCAGTACAGGTCTTTTAGTAGATAGAATATAAATGATGATCAGTCAGAGTTTTTAGAATGACCTCTATTTATAATCATTGTTGATGAGGTGTGTCAAAAGAAGATTTCTACCAGATTGATTTTTTGACTTGGTAAGCAACAGATTTTTAACATATATAGAAAATCAAAAGAGAGCATTCTAATTTTGAACTATATTGCATGTGTATGTTAAAATACATGAACCAAATCATTCTTCAATGATTACTTGTTTCCTTTTGTTTTAATATCAGAACTTTTAGTCTCTGTGTACTAAAACTTTTCATTTTCCTAGTAAATCACTCAAATTTTCTCTTGGGTAGCTGTGCATAATTTCTGAACTTATCACCCTTTTTACTGCTCATGACTCATTAATAATTAATCATAAGCAATGAATATACATTTCTGAACTCACCCAAGTTATACTGTACAAATCTATCAGCTTTTTGTTTGAATTATTTCCACATATTGCTCCAATTACGTTTGGCTGTTTTGCTAATGGTGAAATCAAAGACTGTCTGTGTGAGGGACAATATTTAAGTCTCCTATAATCATCATTCTATTTCCTAAATCAGTGCAGTTTCTGTGTTTGCCTTGTGTTCAAGTTCAATTCCAGTCAAAAAAGATTTTTGCAACTTTACAAAGACAAATGATCCAAAGCAACAGAAAGCAATTAGATTACATTGCTGTAATATATGAATCATTTGGATTAGGTTACAATGACTTTAGCATTTAGCCAGTAATCAGTAATCTGTAACTGAATACATTTATAAAGTAACCCTACAAACCTAATAAATATGCACAGAGTATAAAGATGGGCTTTTCCGAGGTTTTAGAATGTTATTTATGTATGTTGGCTTATTTTTCCCCATTTGTCATTTTCCTTTTCCTTTAATTCTGTTTTAATCATAAAACAGTTCTTTGAATAAATCAGACAAAGACTATTTGGCATAGTGGATTTTTATTATAAAAGAAATCTTACATCACATTTTAAAGGAGAAATAAGCAACATTTACAACCACAAAATGACACACAATGTAAAAAGATCGTTTGTCATTATCTTTAAGTTTCTTTCATAATGTAGTTTCATCTTAAAGACTACTAATAGGCTTGTATGAACTATTTTATCATAAGAAGCTGTGAGTCCACACACTGGCAATACCATGTTTAAATCATGTGACAACAGGGGCACAAAGTCCCAGTAGAAGAAACAGATTTGCATGCTTATTGATTAAAGCTGCTCAGGCTATGCCTGTCACTTTCCTATAGGTTTTTCAATGCAGTACCTGACAGGTGAGTTGTATGTTGCTGAGTATTGAATGGAAAAAACTGAACATAGAGGGTCAAAACTCTTTACAAGCAGAAGTAAAAGTCTGCAGCAAGAAACATGAGGCTGTGTAAAAATGCAACAAAAAACAACAACAACTATAAAAATGTAGAACTTACATAGGTATAGAATTCCAAGAACATTGGCTACAATTGGCAACTTTGCTTCATAGGGCACAGAAGAAAATCACTTACTGCTCTCTTAACTTCATTTCTAGAAATAATCACTAGTGCTTCAGCTTCTTTTGGAACTTACTTTATTTTACTCCTTCATGAGTAAAATAAACACAATTACTATATTATCTGACTAATGTAAACACTAAAGAAAATATGTTGAATGATTTAAGAGACTGTTAAGGTTTAGGTAAGATACGCAAATGTTAAATTATTACACATTGCCTGGTGACATAATTAAACATGTTGTGGTTCAAGTCAAAACAGACTGAACCAGTTTTGTGTCAAAGAAATATTAGTGTAGAAAATTAGTTTTAAACTGGACATGATGTTGAAGAACCAGTGAGTGAAGTTAAGATAAACCCAAGAGCTCTTTATTTATGAAAGACATCTTGGTGCACACCGCGACCCTATCTGGATTAAGCGGTTAATGATTATGATGATGATCTTGGTGCACAGGTTGGGAAAAGTTACTCAATGTTGTGTGGCTCCCCTGGAGGCTCAAAACAGCAGGACAACTCATTAACCAGCGTCTCTGCAGAGGGAGTGGTGTTTCAGCACTATGAACAACACAGACCACCTTGTAAAGTAGTTCATGGCCACAATAACATAACACTGAATGACCCAGTATATTAACCCCACCCCAAACATGAGGGCACTGAACTGTAGGAGCTCAGCACTGCCGCTGTAGCTGATGTCTCTGCTGCTACTGGGGAAGCTGGATCTGCTGCTGTCATCACTGCTACACTTCACTGCTGACCCCATCTCTCACAGTAGCCTGTTCACTCTGGCTTTCAGTGTCTGCAGTGTACTGAGTCTATTAAGACTGTGATGTCACAAGTTACTCTGTAACTAAGCAATAATTCTAACCACTGATGCTCCATGTATTAATTTAAGCTCCACACCTACATTTACTTTCACAAAGTGAAGAAATAAAAACAATGTTGCTTCACTCATTTATTTGAGTAACCTTGTGTGGGTCCTCTACCCTTAATAAACTGTAGTGGAATGTTCTGGGTTGGTCTTTTGACCTAAGACTCATCTAGTTTGAAGGTCCTTTTTCTTTTCAGGTATAAATTAGAGGTGCACATCCAACAGGATGTAAATTCTAGAAGTTATTATTCTAACACCTGTCATTCACTGAATTTTTTTCCAAGCTCACAACATCTGAGCACCTGAGAGCCTGTAAGAGTGCAGCATATCTAAACTCTGTGTTGTGTGTGGACATCAACCACTTCAACAGCATGAGGTAGTTCAGTCCTATTACCAGAAACAGGTCAGTACTCTAGGAAAGCTAAGATCTTCAGAATGTGTACCAGATGGCTCAGTAAATGACTGCACAACCAAACCACAAAATACGCTCTCAAACAGCCCAGGACCTGTAGGAGCTTTTACTGGCTAAGGAACTCAGTATACAATAACATATATATATATATATATATATATATATATATATATATATATATATATATATATAAAACGTGGGCATGCTTACATTTTTTATATTAAAATCCAGCTGTAAGACTGAATTAAATGAAATTGTTTAGTATTTGTCACATGTGCATTTGGAATATTTTCATGGCTATGAATACACAACAGTTATGTTTATGAACAATATGAATGTATCCACATAAAACATGTGCAGTACAGTGTGGTGTTTTTATAAAACGTGGATTTGCTAACTCTCTGCATGTCATTGTGTTTTCTCTACCACAAACTCCAGCACTGTGAGAGTCAGAGTGACTCAGAGCCACCAGCAGAATCCATGGCATGCACAATCAGACTGACTCTCACTGGAGGTTAAGAGAATATTACACTGATCTGGAAGGTCAGATTGAGTTATAATGGGATGAACTGTGTAGGTCAGATGTGTAAAGACTTGCATTTATATTCATGAGTTGAATCAGGATGAATGTAATTTGATGCACCTCATTTCTGATGATGTGAAACTCTTACTGGGTGCTTAGGGCTCTCAGATCAGCTGCAGCTGCTCTAATTCAGCAGCACAGAGTTCAAGCTCCTGCAGGACCCTGGACAGCGTCCAGAACAGCGCTTATGTGGAGCGGGAGAAGCTGGTCACACTCTCACCCTCACACACACCTAACCAGCTCTACCACACACCCTCTCACCCACACTTATGTTCTCTGCCAGATCTTCCTAACATGAACACATCAGGTCAACACTTAGGTGGCTGGAGGATGAGTCATTTCAGCAGGTGCTTGGATTTCATTCTTGGCTGATGTGTATGGATGCTACTCTCAATAGCCCATAATCATCAAAGTTCTCAGAGTATGAATACTGATCTGGGATCAGTTCATGCCGTTTACAATGCTCTCTATAAGACTATATAGACTGATGAGAGCTGCTTTGGATCGGTATTTTTACTCTGAGATACCCGATAAATACAGGGCAATGTGAATTTGTTGACAAAGTCAATTTACTCTGGAAAAGCAGGAGTCTGTTTAGACTGAATAGGCTTCACACCTAAGATTGTGAATACATGCAGCTAATAATCTCTCACCCACTATTAGCTTTTCCCAGCAGCAGAGCTGGACAGGGCAGACGCAGGAGAATGACACAGAGGCAGGAGACTGAGTGGCCAATTAGATAAGACTCAGAGACATGCCTCTTGTTGTCTGTTTAAAATGTAATAAGCCTAGAAATGAAGAAAATCTTAAAAACAGCATAAGGTTCAAAGAGATAAAAGTAGCACGTTCTTGTGTTATATTTGTCACCTAATCCAGAGCTTTGCTATGAACAGAGAGACTAAAATCAAGTCAAACTAATGTCAGGTTTTTCCCTCAAAGCTAACATTGATGTTTTCACTTCAGTTAATCGACAGGCTAGTAGCTTACTTTTCTTTTCTTGCCATTCAGGCACATGTAATCTGCCTTTTTAAAGATTATACATGTGGACGGTGTGAATAGACATTCACATGACAATGGCTGTTTAGCTGACACTCTTTAGTGAAGGTTTATGTGCTGTACAGTAACAGCCTGTATAAATTCAGCACCTGACCAATCCTAATTAATTCATTTTCTGCGATTAGTCTCTACTACTGCTGCTCTCCATGCACCAAGTAAAGAAGAGGCAGCTTTGAAAAAATCAATATGAGCACAAATCAGTTAATGATAAATCCCCAAACCAAATAAAACAGACCAGAAAACCAGGGTCGACAGAGCAAATACACAACAAATAGCAACCAAAATAGCCACCAACTCCAAAAAATCAAGAGAGAATAAATAAAAGAGTCCAGAGTTCACTTAACCAGGAGAAACAGCAGAGGAACAAACTGTTCAGAGCTGTAACTGTACACAGTTTTCAAAACCTGATATAGATTGAGACACAGTGTTCTTATACAGTACAGACTGAATCGGCAAACCAGCTGCAGGTGAGGGTGAGAGCAGATCAAGACCACTGATAGGTGTTTCAAGATAAAGATGTGATATGTGACTCTCTCTCTCTCTCTCTCTGTCTCTGTCTTGCTCACTCTCACCTTTTCTCTCCCTTTCTGTCTTCTCTTTATACTGCTTAAAGAGTTAAACAGACTGTCTGAGGTCAGAGAGAGATGGACAACTGTGTGGCTCTCATTCTTCTGTCCTCCACAATCACACTCACTACAGCTGGTAAGTGCATTGTCCACTCTTAGTAATTACCTATCTATATAATTTCAAATCTCTCTCTCTCTCTCTCTCTCTCTCTCCCTCTGTTGTACAGTGTGAGGTTGGTGGATGGTGGCAGCAGACATGAAAATAATATTCACAAACCATTTATATCTTACCTTTGATGACTTTATATGTGGATGTAGACAATGGCTTTGATATTTTGACATAGCCATTTTAGTTTTGCAGTATAAGTGCATTATAAGTACCAAATTTGAAGATCAAAGATACAGCAACTTTTTGAAGGCTTTAGAAATGAGTAGAAAATGACATGTTGTACTCTGTCATGGTCTCACTTTTACAGGTCCTTCAGGCACATCTTTCGACCGTAGCTGAAGCTATATATTATGATTACAATGATTGAAATCTGAGGCTATATTACATGTTCAGGAATGAGGTGGAGAGTGTAATATTTATACACTGACAGCACTCACAGAAAATAAATCAATTTCTTTGTCCTAAAACTGGAGCTTAATAAATATTATTTCTCCATTTGATTGGGTAGACCTGTGATCAAACTCAGTAGACCCAGGCCTACCCATGGCTATGCACCTGGTCCCAGCATATGCTATGCCCCAGATATATCTGACTCAAAGTAGTTGAAAATGTTGCGTAGCCTAAATGTAAAAAAAGGAGGAATATACAAAGGGTCACAGTAGCTTCTCCCATTTTGAGGACAATCCTTACACATTTTGTGTGGTCCCGCCTGAAATACATTTTTGTATGCATGTGGCCCATGAACTCCATGTTTAACCCAGTTTGTGTACATAACATACAAGCATAATTTTGCCAACGGGCAAATAGTGTGTTCATTTTTATAAGCCTTGGCAAGTAATGTTATATTATTTCATTACAATCTGTTTGAGTTGTTAGTTCAAATAAAACATTAAACATCTCTCATGCTTTGGATAATCATTTGTTATGTGTGTTGGGGGGGGGGTATGGCAGTGAATGTGCTGTACTAAACAATCTTGCTGTAATAAATAAACACTATCAAGATTGAACCGTTGAAATATCTATACATGTACTATGTTTTTATGCTGCACACAGTTCACAGAGAGGTCAGACTTGCTATTGGTCCTCATCCCTGCTCTGGGAGAGTGGAGGTGCTTCATGGAGGGACCTGGTCCACAGTGTGTGATGCTGACTTTGACCAGCAGGATGCAGAGGTTACGTGTCGAGAGCTGGGTTGTGGGCTTCCTGTGGAGGTGCTGGGAGCAGCTTCTTTTGGCAGAGGGGAGAGTCAGGTGTGGTCAGAGGAGCTCCAGTGTAGAGGCAACGAATCTGAGATTTCCTTCTGTCCGACATCATCTTCACTCAAACACAACAGCACCCATGACAGTGATGTGGGACTGGTGTGTGCTGGTAACATATGTTACCTCTGACTGTTACACAGCACAAGCAATGATTTGTCGTTATTCATTCTCATTCCATTAATATGACATTAATTCAGGTCACACTCAGGCTCGACTGGTGAACGGCTCTGACTCCTGTTCTGGTCGAGTGGAGCTCCAGTACCTCAGTGAATGGGGCACAGTGTGTGATGTAAGCTGGAATATGAGAGCTGCCAGTGTCCTCTGTGGTCAGCTGAAGTGTGGGAGTGCTGTTGCTGTGTTGGGGTCAGACTGGTTTGGGGAGGGGAGTGGCCAGATCTGGGCTGATGTGTTTGATTGTCAGGGCAGTGAAACACACCTGTCAAAATGTCCCATTTCATCATGGAGTTGAACTGCATGCTTTATGAGCAGGATGCTGGAGTCATCTGTAGTGGTAAGCCAATAAAAACTATAATATCCATTTTAGTATAATGTACATCATGTTAGAAAATGATAATTAATTGCCACATCCAATAGAACCTGTTTTAGGTAAGTGATATTTTTCTTCTTCAAGTTCCTCTCTGGCATTTCATGAGGGGCGAGTGCGGTTGTCTGGAGGGATGGAGTGTGAGGGGGAGGTGGAGCTGTACTTCAGGCACGACTGGAGGAGAGTTCTGCTGGACTCCTGGAGTGAGTCGGAGGCCTCTGTGGTCTGCAGACAGCTGGGCTGTGGCTCTGTGTTCAACTTCTCCAGCTCCACTTCATCCAGTCCTGAACACAGACACATGTGTGTGACAGGTTTCAATTGTACTGGGAGTGAAGCTCATCTGGGGAACTGCAGCAGCGCACAAGCAGTCAACTGCAGCTCCAGAGAACAGCTCTCAATCTCAATCTGCTCTGGTAAGTGTTACAGTTCTGCAGTTCTGAATTCTATATGTGGTCAACAAAAGTATTATCAATAGTCAACACTAAGTTGACATAATACAGTTGCTCAAATCCAAAATATACTGCTCTTGTGAGAGATGAATGATTACCGCAGACAATAAATAGATAGATTACATAGTGGAGCAAATACAAATAATGGACGGACTTTAATGGTGAATTCTTGTGTGTGTGTGTGTGTATGTGTGTGTGTGTGTGTGTGTGTGTGTGTGTGTGTGTGTGTGTTTAGGTAAGCTTAATTCAGCTCACAGCTCCATCAGGCTGGTTGGTTCTGGGGGAGACTGTGCAGGAAGGCTGGAGGTTTTCCACAGCGGTTCACGGGGGACAGTGAGTGATGACTTGTGGGATATTGAGGATGCGCAGGTGGTGTGCAGACAGCTGCAGTGCTCCGGTACCAGCCCGGTTTGGACCTGGAACTGGACCCATCTGGCTGAATGAGGTGGAGTGTGAGGGGAACGAGACGTCCCTGTGGAACTGCAGATTTCAGCTGTGTGGAGAGGATGAATGTGGACACAAGGATGATGTAGGAGTCGTGTGTTCAAGTAAAGAGTGTGTGGTCCCATACTGAGGTCCCATAAATCAAAAGGATATAAGTCTACAAAGTCAAAAGATTTTGAGATATATCAATAAGTGTAATTTTATGCTACACAGTTTTACTGTGATTCAAAAATACACACGTCACAGAAAGACATACTGATGATCCTCAATTCTTAATTACAGATTGTCCAGTGTTTTTGAGAAACTGATTCATATTGCATAGTAACCCGAATTAACAATTCATAAAGCATTCAGCAAAAATAATAAATAAATTGTCAGTGTCCGTCATCTTTTTCCCACCAGAGTTTAAAGAGATCAGACTCACTAGGGCTGTGAGGGGAATCTGGAAGTGTTCTACAATGGAACCTGGGGTAATGTGTGTGTAAATGGGATGGGTGAAGAAACAATAAGTCTCGTCTGTCAGGAGCTGAATTGTGGAAGATCTGGCACTGAGAGACCTACCAAAGCAAGAGTGGAATCAGCTTCTAACTGGCTGGATAATCTGAAATGTAGGAGACATGACTCCACTCTGTGGCATTGTCCATCTTCACCCTGGAGACAGAACTACTGTGATAACCACAATGAAGTGGCTCACATTACCTGCTCAGGTAGACAGAGTGTGTGTAAATTTGTATAATAACAATAAATCACATGAGGAATAAAACTGGCTTAAACATGTAAGAAATGTACATATTGATATATAAAACATATAATATAGTTTTACATAATATGTTGTCATATAGTCAAAGAACTAAATATTCCATGCTCAGTGAAGTATCTTACTAACCTCACAGAAGGTGAAAATGAACGTGTATTACGAAGCCATCTAAAATGCTCCTCAACTCCCCATTACAGACAGTGCTCAAGTAAGAACTCTCACAAATAACAATATTTCATTAACTAAAGTATTTTGCTACAAATATGTTTTTTCACACAACTATTAATACATTTGTATTTTCCAATTCAAATCAGTTTGTTGTGCGAAGAGTGAAAACTTGTTTGACTTTATAGCTGTATTGTTGTTAGTTCTATGATGATGCTGGTTCATCAGTGTTTCTGTATCTCCTCATGTGTGATGTGTGTTATGTAGATCACCTGCCTCTCAGGCTGAGAGGAGGAAAAGGAAGCTGCTCTGGGAGGCTGGAGGTGTATCATAATAAAATATGGGGCTCCGTCTGTGATGATCTGTGGGACATCGGGGACGCTCAGGTGGTCTGTAGACAGCTGGGCTGTGGGCCGGCGCTGAGTGCTGATGGGAGTGCTGTCTTTGGTGCTGGTGAAGGGCCTATCTGGCTGAACAGAGTGAAGTGTAGAGGGAATGAGATTCACCTGTGGGACTGTCCTCATTCCCTGAAGAACCACACTGACTGCTCCCACAGGCAGGACGCTGGAGTCACATGTGCAGATCAGAGGAGTCTGCTGGATTTTGGGGTTTTTGACTCCATTTAAAATAATTTTATCACAGTGTTAATTAACTGCAAAGCCGTCATCAATTTTAAATTGCTAGTTTTGTTGAATATCAAAAAAAAAAAATCTTTCAGGAGAACGTGAACTTTAATAACTTTTAATGTAAGTGAATGTAATAAGATTTTTTTCTGCATCATTTCGATTATGTAAAAAATGAAAAAAATAAAAAATAAAAAAATATTTTTTGTTAACTAAAAACCTCACTTTTGTGATTTTCTTTTTTGTTTGTTTTGTTTAATATCTGCTTATAATTATGAATGTATTTTTGTTTTACTGGCTGCTTAATTTTTGTTTTGCTTTTTTATATTTCCCAGATATCTGTTCCTTTTACTGCTTCAGAACAGTAACAACCTCCCCTAAACTGTAGAAAACATAAATATTAGCAAACAAATAATGTATAAATCAATAAAAGGTCTAACAGCTGAAATGTATTACATTTTTTGTATGCCTTAAAGAAAATCTGTTTTTCAGTAGATATGAATGAGCATCTAACAGTGGCCATTTTAATTAGATTACATATAATTTCATATTTTTATTCACAATTAAAAATACATTTTCTGTTGATTTATTAAAAGTCAGTAGTGAGTATGTCTCTAAAAGACAAAAAATTATAAAAAAGGAGCTGAAATGCCTGGACTGACATCACACTGAGAAATGGTGCAAATTAATAAAATGTTTTACAACTCCATTTCCAAAAAAGTTAGGATGCCGTGCAAAATGTAAATAAAATAAAATGCAATGAAGTGCAAATCATTTAAATCAGTGTGCAAGGGAAAAACAGTATCAGCTGGCCATGATCTTCAGAACCTCAGGCAGCACTGCATTAAAAGCAGACATGACTCTGTAGTGAAAATAACTTCATGGCCTCAGCGACACTTCCAAAAACCATTGTCTGTGAACACAGCTCATCACTGCATACTCTACCATGCAAAGAAGAAACCATATATAACAGGATACAGAAATGCTGCCGTGTTCTCTGGGCCTGAGTTCATTTAAGATGGAAAGTAGAACAGTCTCCTGTGGTCTGACGAATCAGAATTTGAAATTCTTTTTGCAAATCATGGATGCCACGTCCTCCAGGCTAAAGACCATCTGGCTTGTTATCAGCCAGCATCTGTGATGGTATAGGGGTGCATTAGTGCAAATGGCAGAGGTGACTTGCACATCTCTGAAGGCACCATTAATGCTGAACGATACATATACAGATTTTGGAGTGACATATGCTGCCATCCAGACAGTGTCTCACTCAGTGGTGGACGAAGTACACAAATCATGTACTTGAGTTAAAGTAGAGATAACCAAGGTAAAATATTACTCCACTAAATTTAATTTTTAACTTAACTTTCTTAATTTTTGAATAAAAATGTTTGCATACATTTATTTTACACAATATTTCAGTAAAGCTGTGCTGTTACAGCTGTACAGAACTGATGACAGGCAAAGAAGCAGATGCACAATGTGCATATGACTTGTGTCAAAAATTTAAAGCATTATATTTCAAATATTTGGAAGAACACAGTAGCAGTGTTAGCACATAAGCATTGACTTCAGCCGTAAAGTTCAGAGAAAAAATCCCTTCACAGACATGAGCTCAAATTATAGAAATACTCTGCTACCATCTTGTGCAGTAAATAATAAATTACAGTAATGATTACCCTGTGGAACTGCAGATTTCAGCTGTGTGGAGAGGATGAATGTGGATACAAGGATGACATAGGAGTCGTGTGTTCAGGTAAAATGTGCTAATTGCTGCTGTTTTTTATGAGTCTGCTTAAGCTGACAGTAGTTCACTGAGGATTAAATGAAGGTACTGTTGTGTTGACATTCATAAAATAAAGTTAAATGTGTGTGTATTTAGACACTAGAATAATATGACTATTAACTATTAATAATAATATCACTTTATTTTGAAAAGCATGAAACAAAATCATATTACAGAAGATACAAAGCAGCAAGATTTAATTAAGTTTTTGAAGGAATGCACATTATATTCTCCAAATTATTTTTCTTAAAAGATGCAACATCAGTTGTTTATTATAAACATTTCAATTCATTACAAATAGCCTTACTCCCACCAGAGTTTAAAGAGATCAGACTCACTGAGGGCTGTGAGGGGAATCTGGAAGTGTTCTACAATGGAACCTGGGGTAATGTGTGTGTAAATGGGATGGATGAAGAAACAGTTCTGGCAACTGAAGATCTGGCAGTGAGAATCGAGACGAAGCAAGAGTGAAATCAGCTCCTAACTGGCTGGATGATCTAAAATGTAGGAAACATGACTCCACTGTGGCACTGTCCATCTTCTTCCTGGGGAAATTATAAGTGCAATGAAGTGGCTCATATTAACTGTTCAGGTAGGGAGCTTGTGGTGGTTTTCTATGTTCACATGAACAGAATTTGTAAAAATTTGTTTATTATTCTGAAGCATCAAAATGTATCAAAAAATGTATATCAAACAAAATGTATCAAAAAAGTTTTATGTCATTAGCTAAATGTAAAGAAATGATTTTGACACATTCATAGATAAGGAAAATCATCTTGTGCAGCAAAGTCATCTGAAATGCTCTTCTTCTTATCATCTCCCCATCAGACACAGTGCTCAAGTAAGGACTCAAATAAATAAAGTCAATATTTTTAATATTAAAAGCAGCATTAATCACAACTGTTACTCATCCTATTCACACATCATTTTGGGCCATTTCTTTTGGTCCATTCTTCATGACATTTACACACAATATAAAGGACAACAGGTATTTTGATGGTACCTCATGATTGTATTGAAGTTTTCTGAGATTGTCCTGCACAATCAGTGTTTCTGTATCTCCTCATATATGATGTGTGTGATGTAGATCACCTGCCTCTCAGGCTGTGGGGAGGGAAGGGAAGCTGCTCTGGGAGGCTGGAGGGGTATCATAATGCTGACGCTCAGGTGGTCTGCAGGCAGAGGGGCTGTGGGCTGATCACCACCTTCACCACTCCAGGTGTTTTTGGTCTCTTAGGTAATTTTCTAATTGTTTCTGAATAAACTGTTCAGTGATCTACAGAGTTTCTGTTCTGTATTTTTATTTGCAGTTGGTCAGACAGAGAAGAGGATAATCACTCCTCCACAAACACTTCCACCTGGTGTTCCATCCATCTATTCAGTGTCTCTCCTGGTTCTGGGAGCGGTGCTCTTCCTGGCCTTAGTGCTTCTGGTTGTGTTACCAGAACAGAGTGCTCAGGAGAGGTAGAGAGATTCAGAGATCATCTACAATCCACTTTCTGTACATTCTCTAAACATCATTAGTCCTTCAATCTGTCATCAGTCTTCTCTTCTACTGAACTGGCGCCATGTTTCTCTCTGTCTCCCTCACAGTGCTCTCTAAGAGGAGGCGTAAGACCCTGACAGAGGCAGTCTATGAGGAGATCGACCGCAGATACATCACTAAAAGAAATGACTCGACTTGATGGGGTGAGTGATATATGGTGTGTTTTATATCAGGATTATTGTATTAAAGTGTACTTACATTAGAGATTATAGATTATACTGCAATGTGTGCTGTCTTGCCCAGTCATTAAAGCAATATTTGAAATTCTCAAATGAATTGTGTCTTTAATATACATCTTGTGTGTTTCTCTCTGTTTGTGTCTTTTTGTGTGTGTAAGTGTGTAAGTGTGTGTGTGTGTGTGTGTGTGTGTGTGTGTGTGTGTGTCTGGTGTGTGTGTGTGTGTCTGGGTGTGTATGTGTGTGTCTGAGTGTGTGTGTCTGTATGTGTGTGTATGTGTGAGAGTGTGTGTGTCTTTGTGTGTGTGTGTGTGTGTGTGTGTGTCTGGGTGTGTGTGTGTGTGTCTGAGTGTGTGTGTCTGTATGTGTGTGTATGTGTGAGAGTGTGTGTGTCTTTGTGTGTGTGTGTGTGTGTGTGTGTGTGTGTGTGTGTGTGTCTGTCATTGAGTTATTGAGCAAATGAGGCTGTAAATCGGTGAGTGAATTAATAAATAAACTGAGTGAGTGACCAAGTGAGTGAGTGACAGAATAGGTGAGTGATGTAGTTAGTGAACTAACTAGTTAGGAAACTAATGAGTTAGAGTCCATGACTGACCAAGCAATGGTCCCCAAGACAAAGTGAGTGAATGAGTGACCCCATGAGTGAAAGTGTGATCAAGTGAATAAGCAACCAAATGACCAAGATGAATGATGCGTGACCAAGTGATGAGTTAGTGACTGAGTGATAAAGTGACCAAGTGAGTGGCAAAGTGAATACATGACCAAATGGCTGTGTGACCAATTGAGTGACCAAGTGACTGAGTGAACAAGTGAGTGATGGAGTAATAAATTATGAGTGAGTCACCATGTGCATTGAGCAACCAAGCAATAGAGTGATTGTCTGAGTGAGCAACCAAGTGAATGAGTGACCAAGTGAATGATTGTGTGTCTGAACAATTGACCAACATCCAGAGTTAGTGACCAAGTGCGTGATCAAGTGATTGAAAGAGCAATTGAGTGACCAACTGGCTAAGTGAGTGACTGAGTAACCGAGTGAGCAAGTGATCAATAAGTGTCCAAGTGAGTGTCCAAGTGAGTTAGTGTGAACAAGTGACCGAGAGAGTGAGTGAATGACCAAATGAATAATCAAATTAGTGACCCCAAGAGTGATTGAGAGACCAAATGAGTGACTAAAGGATCAACTAAGTGACCGACTAAGTGACTAACTATATGAGTGATCAAGAGAGTGACCGTGTGGCCAAGTGAGTGACCAAAGGAGTTGGTGTGATCAAATGACCAAGTGGGTGTATGAGTGACCAAATGAGTGACTGGGTGAGTAATAAAATGACCAAATGACCGGGTGACCAAGTGACCGAGTGAGGGACCAAGTGAGGTAGTGTGACCAAATGACCAAGTGAGTGAGTGAATGACCAAATGATAATAAAATTAGTGACCCCGAGGGTGATTGAGAGACCAATTGAGTGACTAAGTGACCGACTAAGTGACTAACTGTATGAGTGGTCAAGTGAGTGACCAAGTGACCAAGTCAGTTAGAGAGTGAATGACCAACATGA